GACTTTTCTTTTTTATTATTTTTTTTTTGTTTTTAAAAAATATTTATTTATTTATTTGGCTGCACCGTGTCTTAGTTGCAGCATATTATTTTTTAATTGAAGTATAGTTGATTTACAATGTTGTGTTAACTTCTGGTGTACAACAAAGTAGGTATTATATATATTCATTTTCATATTCTTTTTCCATTATGGTTTATTATAAGATATCGAATATAGTTCTGTGTACTATACAGTAGGACTTTGTTGTTTATTCTATATATAGTAGTTTATATCTGCTAATATCAGACTCCTAATTGATCCCTCCCCTTCCCCTTTGGTAATGGTAAGTTTGTTTTCTATGTCTGTGGGTCTATTTCTGTTTTGTTAATAAGTTCATTTGTATCATTTTCTAGATTCCACACATAATTGATATCATATGATATTTGTCTTTCTCTGTCTGACTGCAGTTAGCATGATAATCTCAACTTTCATCTCTAGGTTGCTGCAAATGGCATTATTTCCTTCTTTTTTATGGCTGAGTAATATTCTATTGTATATATATATATACCACATCTTTTTTATCCATTCATCTGTTGACACATTTAGTGTGCTAAATAATTAGTATATTTTTAATGTGCTAACTTTGTTGTATTAGGGTTTTTTTTCCGTTGGTTACTGGTAAGGTTTTTTTCTTTCTTTCTTTTTTTTTGGGGGGGTGGCACACTGCGCGGCATGCAGGATCTTAGCTCCCCGACCAGGGATTGAACCTGTGGCCCCTGAAGTGGAAGTGCAGTCCTAACCACTGGACTGCCAGGGAATTCCAGGTTTCATATTTTTTTCTAATTAACATTGATGTATTACTACCATCTAGTTCTCAGATTCCATTCAAGCTTCACCACTTGTCCCAATAACATCCTTTACAGCAGAAAGATCCAGCTCTGAATCAGGCATCGCACTTCAGTCTTCCCTTTTCTTTGGGGGAATATCCTGACATATCTGAAGATTACAGTTTGGTTATTTGTAGAATATCTCTCCCAATTTGGTTTTGTCTGTTTCCTCATGATTAGGTCTCTTTGGCAGGAAAATCACTTCTCATCCTATCAGGTGGTAGAGGACTTTGATTTATCTGATTATGAATGATGTTCATTTTGGTCACTTAATCAAGGTGATGTCTGCCAGATTTCATTGTTGTGATGTTACTTTTTCCTTTTGGAATTAATGTGTATTTTGTGTGCAAGTACTCTGAAACTATCCCATTCACTATCAGACTTTACATTTATTCATTCACTTATGTCAGTATTGCTTTATCATTTCTTATTTAATAGGTTATAATCCATTACTATCATTATTTGTTTTGATGCTGAAATTATCCCCAATTTGGTTAGTGGATGCTCCCTCAAGCTAGATCCTAGGTCCTTTTGTAATGCTTGATTTTATTTTTTATTCATTTATTTATCCCAGTTTTATTGAGATGTCATTAACATATAACATTCTATTAGTTTAAGGTGTGCACATAATGATTTGATGTATTATATACTGCAAAATGATTACCACAATAAGTTTGGTTATCATCCATCACCTCACACAGTTACAAAAATTTTTTTCTTGTGATAAGAACTAAGATCTACTTTGTTGGCAACTTTCAAATGTATAATACAATATTGTTAGCTATAGTCACCATATTGTAGATTACATCCCCAGAACTTATTTATCTTATAAGTGGAAGTTTGTACCCTTCGACCACCTTCACAGTTTTCTATCACTCCCCACCCCCACTTCCAGAAACCACCAATCTATTCTCTGTTTCTATGAGTTTGTTTTTTTCTGTAAGATTCCACATATAAGTAAGATCATACAGTATATGTCTTTCTCTGTGTGACTTATTTAACTTAGCATAATGCTGTCAAGGTCCATCCATGTCGTTGCAAATAGCAGGACTTCCCCTTTTTATGACTGAATAATATTCCATTGTGTACATATACCACATTTTCTTTATCATTCATCTGTTGATGGACACTTAAGTCCTATATCCTTTTCTTATGTGTCTGTCATTCTTTGAGCACTTTGTTGCTCTCTGGCACAGGATATTCCAGATTCATCTTGTACTTTTTCTGCTCCAGGGCTGTAATTAGACAATTACTATTCTCCAAGGAGCTCTGGTTCCCTTTATTGGAGAATGGTGTTAGAAGCCAAGATTTGGATGCTAGGTATGTTCATACCATTGGTGGGGGTCTTGGGGGGAGTGGTCACTGTTCCCAGGCCCTCTCACTAGACAGATTTACAGAACTGGGGAGTATACTTATGTACACATCACGCCGCCCCCCTCCCCCCCCAGACGTTTATGTCTCTCTTTTTCTTTTTAACTGGCTTCATTCACTTTACTTTTCTCATATAAAAATATGTGGTGGCTACAGCTGGAGCCTGGGTCCTCTGCACAGAAACTCTGTGTGGGTCTTTACAAGATGGTCAGTGAATTCCTGATACGGAGACTTGGTGAACACTATTTCTTTCCAGAGATCAGGAGTGAGGTAAAGGTAGGTCTTGGAAATGGCATCAAAAGTGGCCTTGGCTGGGAAAGGAAAAACAAGAGAGGGTTGGTGAAACCCCAGATGCAGACGGAAGCTGTTGCACTTCTAGGAACAGAGTGGCCACTGTGGGCCAGTCTGTCGTGCATTAGGAGCACCTTCCTCTCCCTCTCTGAAAATACGCCAACCACACTCAGAATGTCATTAAGGGAGCTGAGAGATATATCACTCTTTTTAAACATCCATTAGTTTACCCATACCTCCAGTTTCAATCCACAGGGTTCATTCTAACCTTTTCCCTTTCCTTGTTTGTGTTTTCTTTCTCTTACAGAGAGAACTCTGGGTCCCCTTTTCCTTAGTAGATTTTCTTATTTGATGAATCCGCTATATATGACAGATCTCTCTCTACCTCTGAACTCTTCCATGTGGACATGCCCTCCTCACCGTGCTCAGGCTCTCACTCCCCATGCCAGTCCCCATTCGTGGTTACCCTTATCACTGCACTCAAGCTCCACCATCCCATGCAAGCTGGCCCTTTGTATGGATGTTGATGGTCTCCTCACAATTTGTGCTCTGATACCCAGGAGGCTACCCTCTGTACGGACACCTGCTGTGCTCTGACCCACCTAATGGCTGTAGGACTGGATAGTTTGGGAATGGGAGAGGGCTTCTTTGGATTCTTAAGTTTCACTTTAATATTTCTGGCTGTGGGATTATTTCTTTATCTTCTCTTTCCTTTAACATTCTTTGAGTCCTTTTAGTTTGAGGTTTTATATTTTCTCTAATTCTGGGAAGTTTATAGAAGTTTATTTCTACAAGTATTTATTGCCTTCTCATGATTTTTTCTTTCTTCTTTATATGCTATGATGTGGATGTTGATTTCCTTCATTTCCCTTTTCCATATCTCTTGAATTTTCTTTTGTGTATTCTATCTCTTCCTGATGTCTTTTGGCAGAGTACCTTAAACCTGACGTTTTAGCTAATTAATTTGTTCAGCTGTATCTTTTCTGTTATTTAGTTTATCCATCTACTAAGTTTATTTCATTGATTATATTTTTCGTACCCAGTATTTTTATTTGCTTCATTATGATATTTTCTTCCTGCTTTATATCTAATATCCTTTCTTATTGAATTTGTTTATTTTGAACTTTGATTTTGTGTTTTTCTCCTGTAAACTCCTGTGTCCTGGGGATATTAGCCACCTTGGCTCATGAACTATATGGGGAGGGCTGGAGAAAGTACAGTTTGTGCCTCATTTCTGCATCTCCTTCTGGGTTTAGAGAATGAAGGCAGGGGGTTGTTGAGTGTGGGAGATGACTTACCCAGGATCACTGTAGTGTGGAATCCCTTCCCAGACTCTGCACTTTTCAAGGTCTGTTTCCCTTTGTTAAAACCACCTAGTCCATGACGTGCGGAAAGAGGTTGTGGGAAGAAGGAACTTGTGAACGTGCAGGACCACCCAGTACTGTCAATGCGTGTTGTAAACTACTTCCCCACCAGCTGGCTGCAGTGCCACCCATGTGTTACCCTGCAGCCCCTTGACAGTTCTAGGCTTGCTACAGTTTTCCTGCCTTGCAACCGCAATTGTCTGTTTAAGACAATGTTGGAGAGAAAAATATTTGCCAAAATAACTGTACCACCCCCAACTACCATCTCTGGTGTCTGGTCCTTGTCTGCTCTGCCTATTTTTTCACCCTGCACTGGGACCAGATTTCCCTGTGTTGTCCCAGGGACTTCTATCTGTGTGTGAACACAAATGAATTTTTTTTTCTTTAGCATAGGTTCATACTATGTATACTATCTGGCAACTTGCTGTTTTTAAAATGGCTGATTAACATGATTGATTACATGGGAAGATAGCTTGGATTCAGTAATAAATAGCTTTCAAATATATGTACATGTGTGTGTGTGCATGTGGTTTTTATATCCCTTTTATACTGAAGTATATCCATATTATTGCTTTATCATCTTAAGTATAACTGTAAGTTAGTGATAGAGTAGAGTGTAGTCATTAGTGTTCTATGAAGTACTTAGCCATTTCCCTCTTTGGTTTTTTTAGTTTCAGAACAGCTTTTAAATACTATGGTACCGAAATAAATATCTTTATGGACAAAGGGTTTTCCATTTGTAGGATCATTTTCTGGGACAGATATACAGAATGGATAAAATAGATAAATAGGTTAAAAGGTTCAACATTTTTTATTCTTAACCATGTAGAGGAGTGCCTGGAACATTTTAGCCATTCAAATAATATTTATTGGATGAAATAATATTATAAAAACTGCTTTTTAAAATGGATGTACCAATTTTCATTCCCACCCACAATATGAGATTGTCTATTCTTCCACACCATCTTATACTTAAATTATTTTGATGATTTGATTGTAATCAGAAGATGTCTCTATCATTAAAAAAATGCTATCAGATGATATAACTAAGGTCTGTTTCTGTTTTTATTTTCACCTACTTGGTAAATAGACATATGTTTTCTTACAGGACTGAATTTGCTCTTAAAGAAATCATGTCCTCTGGAGGTGCTGAAGATGACATCCCACAGGGAGAGAGGAAAACAGTTACAGATTTTTGTTACCTTCTGGATAAATCTAAGCAACTGTTCAACGGGTTAAGGTTAGTGGACTCTTGATGCCTTAAACTTTTATCTAGTTCTGTATCTTTTTTTTCCATGGCTGATGTGTGGTAAGTTTCTGAAAAGTTATGGATAGAATGTTATATAAATATCTGTACTAGAGATGATCATGCTTCTTTTCTTCATTCTCAGGTGAGAAAACAACAGAAGAGGATAACTTATATTGTTTTACTCAAGTTGAGAGAGCTGTTTTGTTAGATGGTCTTGTATACCTTACTCCACATCATATTTTACATCTGATTTTACACATTGCGATAACTAAGGAGCCTGGGATGCATATGCAAGTGAACCTGGGGCTTCTCTTCTGTTACATTTTCTGTATACTTGTTTATTTGCTTATTTCTTTTATTCTTTCTTTTTCTTAGGATGAAGTATCTGTTAACTAAAATAAGAGTGTTCTAGACAGTGTTATTTTTACATTAGTTGTGTGTGCCCTGACTGACTGGTAGCAGAAGCTGTATGCAATTTTGTCAAAATGTGTCTTTGTGTATCCTTGTGTGTGGTGGGTAAATAATTTTGTACCATTTTGTTTTATTTAAATGGTTTAGCCGTATTTCATTTCATGAGATTCTTAGGATATTGACTTACTTCAGACCTAAAGCTTCAATAGCTTAGTTTCAGTCATAAATAAATTCATGCTATGGGTAAAATACTAAGGATAAATAGGTTTTTTTGGGAAACTTTATATAGGAGTGAATAATTGTAAAGATTGTGAGTTATTTTTATTTTAATTAATTAATTATTGAAGTATAGTTGATTTACAGTGTTGTGTTTGGTGAGTTTTATTTTTTTTTCCTGATAAAGTATTTTTATTTATTTATTTATTTTTGCTGTGTTGGGTCTTTGCATCTGTGCGAGGGCTTTCTCCACTTGCGGCGAGCGGGGGCCATTCTTCATCGCGGTGCGCGGGCCTCTTACTGTCGCGGCCTCTCCCGTTCCGGAGCACAGGCTCCAGACGCACAGGCTCAGTAGTTGTGGTTCACGGGCCTAGCCACTCCACGGCATGTGGGATCTTCACAGACCAGGGCTTGAACCCGTGTCCCCTGCATCGGCAGGCAGATTCCCAACCACTGCACCACCAGGGAAGCCCACTGAGTTTGGTTTTTTTTTGTTTGTTTGTTTTTTAGCGGTACTAGGGCCTCTCACTGCCGCGGCCTCTCCCGTTGCTGAGCACAGGCTCCGCACGTGCAGGCTCAGCGGCCGTGGCTCACGGGCCCAGCCGCTCCGCGGCATGTGGGATCTTCCCGGACTGGGGCACGAACCCGTGTCCCCTGCATCGGCAGGCGAACTCTCAACCACTGCGCCGCCAGGGAAGCCCTAGTGAGTTATTTTTCATTTGCAATTTATTTCTGGGTAAAAATGCAATCTTCTTTTCACATAGTTTATAATTTTATTCTACATCCCTAGGATCGGAATTGTACTGACAGAGTTTATTTTAAAGAATATATATTTTTGGGCTTCCCTGGTGGCGCAGTGGTTAAGAATCTACCTGCCAGTGCAGGATACATGGGTTCGAGCCCTGGTCTGGGAAGATCCCACATGCCGTGGAGCAGCTAAGCCCATGGGCCACAACTACTGAGCCCACACGCCACAACTACTGAAGCCCGCGCACCTAGAGCTCGTGCTCCGCAACAAGAGAAGCCACCGCAATGAGAAGCCCATGCAACGCAACAAAGAGTAGCCCCCGCTCGCTACAACTAGAGAAAGCCTGCACGCAGCAATGAAGATCCAATGCAACCAAAAATAATTAATTAATTAATTTAAAAAAATTCTTTTTAAAGAATGTATCTTTTTAAAAGTATTTATTTATTTATTTATTTATCTGGTTGCTCTGGGTCTTAGTTGCAGCAGGCGGGCTCCTTAGTTGTGGCTCATGGGCTCCTTATTTGCCGCTCACTGGCTCCTTAGATGTGGCACGTGGGCTCCTTAGTTGTGGCATGTGAACTCTTAGTTGCAGCATGCATGTGGGATCTAGTACCCTGACCAGGGATCGAACCCCCAACCCCCTGCACTGGGAGCCTGGAGTCTTAACCACTGCACCACCAGGGAAGTCCCTAAAGAATATATCTTTAATCAACTATACGCCAAGGCACTTCTTTTTTTTTTTTTTTTTTTTTTTTTATACGGTACGTGGGCCTCTCACTGTTGTGGCCTCTCCCGTTGTGGAGCACAGGCTCCGGACGCGCAAGCTCAGCGGCCATGGCTCACAGGCCCAGCCGCTCTGCAGCATGTGAGATCTTCCCGGACCAGGGCACAAACCCGTGTCCCCTGCATCTGCAGGCGGACTCTCAACCACTGCGCCACCAAGGAAGCCCTCCAAGACACTTCCTTAAAAAATTTTTTTAAAAGTCCCACCTATCAAAATAATAAGTCTCTAAAATGCAATGTTAGGAATATGGCAAACCCTCTGACTGGGGGGAGTTGGAACATGTTTACAAAGCCTACTTCATCGAGTTACATACAGCTGAGAGAATAAGGAAGGATAAGAAAGTTCTGTGAATTAAGTTTACTGCCTATCAGAAGTTTATTGCCCTTCTGCTTTATAAGTTTTTTGAATCTTGCCTGTAGATTTTTTGACTCTAATATAGTTGCTTAAGGTTTAATCATTTTGATACTCTGCTGCTTAGTTGTGGTGTTAGTAGAATGTTTGGAGTCTACTTATATGTAATTTACCTGGCTTCGTAAACAGTAAATAATGTTGAGCAACTAAAATGCTGTGCCCATTTTCATTCCCACCTCCCCAAAGAAGAATGCCCTTAAGTGAGGAGGGTAACCTGCACTGGGTAATGCACCTTTCTGCACACCTTGGAGATACTGAAGGAGCTTTTAACTCACATCGGTTATTAAATAACTGCATGAGAGTAAATACGTCTTCACAATAAAAAAAAAAATATATATATATATATATATCTTTAAAAAAACTTACAATTATAAAGATAATACAGGGTCATCGAATGAGTCCTCCATGACCACTGTATTTAAAGCTATACTTTCAATCACTTTCTCATCTCTATATTTATTTAATTTTCTTCATAAAACTCATCGCTACCTCAAGTGATCTTATTTGCTTATGATGTCTTCCTACATTAGAATGAAATATCCCTAGGAGTAGGACCCTATGTGTCAGTGTTTCTCTGCTGTCTAAACCAGGGTCTTGCACGTCACAGGTGCTTCACAAACATCTGTTAAATGAAGGATTCCAAAGACAGTGTTCTTAACTCCCACACTCTGCTGCTTCCTATTTTGTGCTACGGAAGAGATCTTTGAGATCAGTTTGGTTTCTTTTGCTTTATAGATTAAATGCATCTTTTTAAAGAATTCTTTTCTTTCACTATTATAATTCAGAAAACGACCCCAGTACACCCTGGTTTGAAGTCGTTTTTTTTTTTAATAAATAAATTTATTTATTTATTTTATTTTTGGCTGAGTTGGGTTTCAGCCAAAACCTTGTGAACAAGGTTTTGGATGAACATGTGTTTCCAGTTCTCTTGAATATATACCTAGGAGTGAAATTGCTGGCTCATATGGTACTTACTCTAAGTTTAACGTTTTGAGGAACTTCTAGACTGTTTTTCAAGGAGGCTGTACCACCAGCAATGTATGAGGGTTCCAGTTTCTCCACATCCTCACCAACACTTGTTATTGTCTGTCTTTTTGATGATAGTCATCCTAGTGTGTGTGAAGTTGTATCTCATTATGGTTTTGATTTGCATTTCCCTAATGATGTTCAGCGTCTTTTCATGTGCTTATTGGCCATTTTTATGTCTTTTTTTTGGAGAAAATATTTATTCCAATCCTTTGATCATTTTCAGATAGGTTTATTTATCTTTTAATTTTAAAGTTGTAGTCATTTTCTGTATATTCTGGATACAAGTCCCTTGTAAGATGTAATGATTTGCAGATATATATTTTCCCGTTCTGTGAGTTGTCTCATCACTTTCTTGATGGTGTCCCTTGAAGCACAAATACTTTTAATTTTAATAAAGTCCAACTCGTCATTCTCTTTCATCACTTGTACTTTTGGTGTCATATCTAAGAAATCATTGCCTAACCTGAGGTCACTGAGATTTACTCGGCTGATGTTTCCTTCTAAGAGTCTTGTGGTTTTAGCTCTTACATTTAGGTCTGTGAACCATTTTGTGTTAACTTTTTTATAAGTTTTTTATTATTTTTATTTTATTTTATTTTTATTTTTGGCTGCGTTTGGTCTTCATTGCTGCGCGTGGGCTTTATCTAGTTGCGGTGAGTAGGGGCTACTCTTCATTGTGGTGTGCAGGCTTCTCATGTGGTGGCTTCTCTTGTTGTGGAGCACGGGCTCTAGGTGTGCGGGCTTCAGTAGTTGTAGCATGCGGGCTCAGTAGTTTTGGCTCATGGGCTCTAGAGTGCAGGCTCAGTAGTTGTGGCACATGGGCTTAGTTGATCCATGGCATGTGGCATCTTCCCAGAGCAGGGCTCGAACCCATGTTCCCTGCATTGGCAGGTGGATTCTTAACCACTGCACCACCAGGGAAGCCCCATTTTGTGTTAACTTTTGTGTATGGTATGAGATCTTAGGCATTTCTTTATCGGAAAACATTTTTTTTTCAATTGATTAATTCATTTTTTCTTTCTTCTTGCTTGTTCCCTGTTTCTCCTTTCTTGTTCATACCTGTAATGCTTAGATTGAATTTGCAATCTAAAGCCTCTATTAACCATCTACTCTCTTTTGATTTTCATCTCTATTCTTTTTCTCAACATTTTTAGAAAATGTATTCAATTTGTCCACCATATGCCCAACACATTTCACCTTGTCATTTCATATCAGCGGTTTTTGCTATACTGCTTTTTAAAAAACTAGATATTATGTATTTGATCCAAAGTTTACTAGCTGTTCTATCTGTATATTCAAATAAGACAGACACTAGAAATTTTAATGTGTTTGTGAATGGAAATTCTTTATTCAGTATGTCTGAGAAGCATATTGAATTTAGCAGTGGCATTT